TTCGAAGACTCTGCAGCCCGACCCCGCTCGAAACATTCGCAAAAGAAGCGCCGCAGGAATCGTACATTCCCCGGTGCTGCCAGGGAATGTCTGTTTTTCCCGGGGAATGTCCGATTTTCCCGGGCTAAGTACCGATCGCGGGGGGGCCTTGGGGTATGATCAAATCGGGCCCGTCCCTCTACAGGAGGAATCTTCGACAATAGTAAAAAAATAGTCAGGGGACGATTTTTGAGTACTTTTGGGCATGTTTGGAGCATTTTTTGTGTATTTTTAATCTTTCCTCCAGAATCCACCTCTAGGAGCACACGCCCGACCTAAGGGTATGGCGGTGGCGCTCTGGCGAGGTGGGACTCGTCTGGGCGGGGATGCGCTGCGATCGCCACAGGTGTGCGCGCGAGCATGAGCATACAGTGACCCCACATAGTAAGGATGGTAACTTTCCCAAGGGTGCCCTTGCATCCTCGCCTCCTCCTAGACCTCCGACGTCGCGAGAAACTCACGACGAAGGTTTTGACATTTTTCGGCCTCCGGAGGCCCTCGCCGGGCCTCGGCATCGTCGAAAAACGACTGGGGATGAAAAACCGGCTCCAGGGAAGGTCTCCAGACTTCGGGGGGCTCACGTGGTGGGTTCCTCACGACGTCGGGGGTCTGGGCTCGGCCCATCCCTGGCCACTTTCGTTGGCCGTTCTCCTCTCGGGAAGCTTCAACATGGGCGCCCAGGGCCTTTGCGTCCTGATCGCGTATCCTTACGATACGGGCCGACTGTATGGTGGGTGGTACCGTCACCCTCTAGGCCTCCTAGATGGGGTCGGAGCAGATGGGATCGGAGGATCGCGCCGCGTCGCCGATGCATCGACGATGCGGCTCGATGTGGAGACCGTGTTTCCACATGCCGGCGTCGCCGATGCATCGCCGACGTCGCCGATGCATCGTCGATGCATCGCCTTTTCATCGGCCATGCATTGGCGACGCGGCTGGATCCTTCGATCCCATCTGCTCGGACCCCACATCTAGGAGGCCTCGACTTCCGTTCGATCGTTACCATTAACCCGGGGATGAGGTGGGTGGTGCTGGCCCGTGCAACGACCGTTGTACTCGCCAGAGGATACACAGCACAACATCCTCCCTCCTTTACGTTGCACCCTCGGGGGACCTCGCCTGTCCCCCTCGACTTGGTGCGTTCTCTCTTGTGCCCCCACGCGCGCTCGATGCAGATTCGACGCGGAGTTGGCGTGGCCTCGGCGCGGAGTTGACGCGCACTCGGTGCGGACTCGACGGGGCGGGCGTGGGTTCGGCGCGGACGCGGCGCGGAGAGGGGCGCGACGGTCCAGGCGGGGCCCCCCCGAAGAGGCAGCCTGACTTCCTGCCTTTCCTGCGCTCTCGTCCCCTTCCCAGCACTCCTCGCGTCGCGCCACGTCACCCAGGAGGGGAAAAACACACACACACACAGACACAATGAATCGTCGATCCCCCAGGAGAATATGGGGGAAGACGAACACCCAGAAAATATGGGACAATGTGCGGGATCCTGATACTTGTGTGTGTTTATTTGTTGGTCCGAGGGCCCCTTCAATCACGGCGGACGTTTCTGTTCGCTGTTTTCGCCTTCCGCCAGGAAACCACCCAGGATGACACCTCCGTTCCAGCGAGGGGGTCCTAACCTCTGTGGGCCCATGTCCTGAGACAATCATGGCGTCGGGGGTCTGGGCTTGAGTCGGGCATGTCCCTCTACAGGTGGAGTATTCAAGAATAGTCAAAACAATAGTCTGTGGACGATTGTTCTACTAGTCTTGATTCTGTTTGATTTTTGCTGCGGCTATTTTACAGTTTCCGTCCACACTCCGCCTGTACAGTCGGCCCAGATTAGCAGGTCGACACTGCCACATCAAGGGTACCTTTGTGTCCCGTGTCTCGCGACCCATGCCTCCTGCATTCCTGTGGCAACGTGGCCCTCGGAAGGGTCTTTTGTCCTCTCGCGTGTCCTGTCCAATGAAGTCCGCCTGCAGGAGGACGTGCCCGACCCAAGTCTGGGCTCTCATTCTCCCGTCGAGGAGGAGGAGGAGGAGGAGGAGGAGGAGGAGGAGGAGGAGAAGGGCAACCGGGCCCCGGCAGTGGCCCACGGAGGCC